GGCCAAAGCGGGCGTGCTGCCAACGTGGCAGTGCCGGCAGCGCGGCCGAGAAGCTGCAGCTCAGCTACCTACGCCACCTGCTGGGGGTACGGCAGAGCACCCCCAATGCGGTCCTCCTTGCGGAGACTGGCGAGCGCCCGCTGTGGCAGCGCTGGCTGCGGCGGGCAGCCGAACTCTGGAACAAGACGCTGGAAGAGCGGCCCGGCAGCCTGTTGCAGCAAGCGCTGTTGTCCAGCGTGCAGCTCGCAGATGGCGCCCACCCCCTGGCGCAGCAGTCCTGGGCTGCCCAGCTGGCGGCCGGTCTCGCAGCGGTCGGCATGCAGCTGGACCTGCAGCAGCCAGCGCCTGTTGACCTCGGCGAGCTGGGGGAAGCTGCGCAGCGCCGCCAGCTGGCGCAGCTCTAGGAGGCGCTGGCGAAGGGCGGCGCCAGCCGGCTGGAGCACTATGTGCATTGAAGATGCCCCTCACATGCTGCTCACCTGCCCCCTTTACGCCCCGCTGCGCCTCAGCTTTCCTGACCTGTTTGCTGAGCCCCATCCTTCCCACCGCTTCCTCCGCCAGAAACCGTGCCGCCTCGCCGCCTTTGCTGCCGCCTGTCACCAGCGCTGGCAGACCGCCACCGCTGCGCTGCCTGTCCCACCCTGAACCCCCACTCTCATGTCCACCCCCTTTGCTCTTACCGCACCATACCTGCTCCACGACATGCAGTACTGTCTGCCCGCTCACACACTGAACGCTCGGTGACCTGTCAGTTGGCCTGTCCTGCCTGTTGTTCTACTGCTTCATCCCTCCTTGCTCTACCAACAAAGCCTGTGCTGCAAGCTTGTTCTTGCTGAAACCAGACTGTGAGCCCACACAAGCAAGCAACACACGGGGTGCTCGCCCGGTCAACAGCGGCGGTCGCAGGCGGCGGCAGCGGGCAGCCATGTGGACCCCTCCGCGGTGCTGCTGCCGCTGCTGCCGCCGCCTGCAACAGCCAGCAGCAGCAGCACTGGCAGTAGCGGGCCCGGGCGCCGGAGGACTCCAGCGCAATTCGGAGGAACTGGCGTAGGCTGTGATCGCCGGACTGTCAGAACTGCCTACAGTCGTTTTATGGAGGGTTGTGGGACGCTGAGAGTGCGCAGGGAGCGCGGGAGCGAAGCTCTTTGAAAGACCGGCCCCGGCACACGTGTGGGCAGCAGAGCGTGCGGCGCGGCGCTCTTCTTCCTCCTACCCTTCACGCCAGACGGTGGGTGGCGGGCCTGGATGTGGCGCCCACCCATTGCCTCATGTACATATTACTACATCAACACAGTGTAGGTTGGGGCTCACCACCTACCACACCCCATGCAGACCATGAACACATACTCCACCACACAATCTCCTCCATCTACCTCGTGGGGTGAGGCAGGATCTGCCGTGTCAGCAGGCTGGGGCAGGCCTGGCGGTGCATGTGTATGCACTTCTCCCTGCTTGCACGGCTCCGGCCCCAACGCCGATCCCTCATTCACTTTTGGCCACTGCATCCCCTGTATCGAATCGCTCTCCTCCGTTCCCCGCCACGCAGCTGCCTGCTGCACCACCACGGCGCCATCGGCTGCATCATGATGTTCTTCCTGGCGACGGTTACCTCCCCTGTCTTCAGCGTCTTCACCATTGCAAAGGAGTTGCGCCACCACAGCAAGGCAGCCCTCCAGGTCTTCACGTTCACCTCCCCGCTCTTTACAGGTGGGTGCCTTTGTCCAATCTGCCTGCCCTTGCCCCGTCCCGCCCACCTTTCCCTCTCTTCTCCAAGCGCCATTACCACTGTCACTGACCCACCACCCTCTTATTCTGTTTCACCACCCCTGCAGTCGCCTTCATCAGCGTACGCTCCGTGATGGCACCCCCAGTGGTTGCCTGGTTTGTCTTTACACTCTGGTTCAGGTGCGCACATCAGGATGGCACGCACAGGGGCGCGCGCCTCCTGCTTGCATTTTTGTTGTGGGGATTGGCAGGCTTGTCATCACACTCTGGCCCAGTGCCTGCCCGGCCTCGCAACACACACATTCACTCGCTCTCACACATCTTATCACCAAACACACACACCATTCACGATTAACCATGCCACGCAGTGGCTTACACACGCACACCAACATACCGTCTCTGCTTGCCTGCCTGTCTGCCTGCCTTCAGGAGCTCGCTCATCCCCGGCCCCTGGCGCTTCGTCATGGGAAGCTGTGTGTTGCTGGGCATGGTGGTATCTCAGGTGGGTTGTGCACAAGTCCCAGCACACATCCTGGTCTGCATCAATCGGGCCCGGCTGTGCCATCACTACACACACACACATATACACATACATCGCTGCCACCGCCTGCTGCAGATTTGGTCTCACCGCCTGCAGCGCAGCTACGCCAAGCGGCGGCGCCACGCTTCACGGCTGGCTGGCGGCGGCGTTGCGGCCGGGGAGGTGAAGAAGGCGGACTGTGTGTAGACCGTCTGTCTGGCCGTGACCTTTTGTTACAATGAGTTTTGTCAATAGTGAGTGCGTTTGTTTATTGCCTTGATTCAACAGCGGCTTTGCAGCAGGAGCGGTAGGGGGGGGGGGGGGGGGGGGGGGGCTGGCAGGAAGGCCAGGAAGGCATGTGCATGGGAATGAATGTAAACAGGGCCAATTGAGCACTGAGAAGCGTCCTGAAGAATGAAAGGAAAACACGGAGGTAGGGCGTCGGAGCAATCATAGATGGGTGTGTCGCACGGCGCCGGTTCATGCTTTGCCGGTTCACGCCCGCTACAGAAGGTCCCGGGCAGCGTGGGCCCCGTTGACAACGTACCACGCGAAGCAGCTCTGCATGTAGAGGCCCCAGAGCCAGGTGCACGACGCCTCTGGCGGGTGGGGGCAAAAGGTAAAGGTGGGGAAGAGCCTCCACAGGCTTAACTTCCCGGTTTTAACGTCTAGCTTTAGACCATTATTTGATCTGCCCGACGCGCCAAGTGCAGTACCCCCCACTAGTAGTGAATGGGTCCCGGGGAGGCCTGTGCCGAAGCCTTGGCGATTCTATTAGGCGTTCCCGAAGGAATTGGCTTGGATTGGCGCTGAGCCGGTCAGCTATGCCGCGTTTGTCCTCACAAAGTTTCGACATGGGAGGAATCGAACCTGTGCCCTCTCTGAGGGTTTAGACACTAGCTCCAGCGCCTTCAAAGAAGGCCTTTCTTAGCCGCGGCCCAGGCACTGGGTCAGCGGGTCGTCGCTGGGCTGCGCCACCATCAGCGTAGCAGGCGGCATCAGCAGGCTGCTGCAGGCAGCAACGGGGGCAGGGCGGCAGGCGGGGGGTTGAGGCGTGCAGGCCGCGGATGGGCCGATGGTAGCGTATGGGTGCAGGCAGCGGCGGGCCAGCCCCGTGCCAGCAGCAGGCGGCACATATGCTCACTGGGCGGTGCCAACAAGCGCATGCAGCGTGTTGAGCGGCTCCCGCGACCCCGGGGCCGCCATCACCCGGTGGCACACGCTCTCGCCCACCAGCAGCTGCAGAGGAGGGGGCAGGGCGGGTGGAGCGCGGCATGGCGGCGGGCTTGTTGCGGGCGTGCCTGGCTGCTCTGGCCGGCATGGCTGCCAGCAGCCCCAGAGCAGGCTGCTGCGTTGGGCCTTGCGGGGTGCTGCTGCGCTCACCGGCACGAAGGCTGTGAGGGGCAGGGCCAGGAGGCTCCAGCGCCGAGGCCAGCCATGGTACAGGCAGCAGAAGGTGCACCACATGCCGTGGCCGCACACCACCATCAGCGCGGCCAGCACCAGCGGGCTGCCGTGGTGGTGCAGGAAGAAGTTCACGCCGCCCTTGGCCGCTGCAGCGCGGGCGTGGGCCGGTGGCGAGGCGTGGAGGGCACGGCATAAAGTGTAGCGGTGAGGCCGAGGATGGTAAGGAATGGTAAGGATGGCCCGCTGGCAGCATTCCAGCCTGTGCGGCAAGCTTGTCCTGCCGCAGCCATTCTGTGAGCCTCTGGATGCAGCAATGCTGAGATGCAGGTGTGTCGGCAGTGGAGGCCTAGGCGCACCCATGTTTCGGATGGTCAGGCTGGTGCAGAGCAGGGCCAGGGTGGAGATGAGCTCCCGGTGTGCGCTGTACACCTGCCGCCGCCACCGGATCAGCGCTGCCAGCCCTGCCATGAGCAGCACCTGGGGCACGCTCTGCAGCGCCACGCCTGCGGCCAGAGCAACGCGGGGGCACGCGGGCCGTGGGATGTTGACAGCAGCTGGTGTTGCATTAGTCAGGTGCGTTGGACGGGCGGCAGCGCGGCAGCCGGCGCAGGCGTGGCGGCCGGCTTACCCCCGAGGCCCTCCAGCAGCCACATCTTCAGCATTACAGCTGGCATCAGCACGTTGGAGGCCAACAGAAAGAATCAGCATGTGCGCCATGCTCGTTGTGGTGCCTGCATGGCGGCGGCGGCGGCGGCGGCGGCGGCGGCGGCGGTCACAAGTATCTTCGCCACGAACAGCCAGCGAGACCGGCGGCTCCCTCCCTGGGGCCTCCCTGCCTGCGTAGACAGCGACCAGTGCACGCACGTGGGTGGCGAGGACAAGCCCTTCGGCCGGACGGGCACGCTGGCGCACCTGCGGAGCGGATCCGCCGACCACGCCTCCCACGCCATGCGCTTGTAGAGGAGGGAGGTTAGGCTGAGGCCGACTACCGGAGCGGAATTAGGGCAAGAGGTGCGGCTCGGCTCCTTGAGCCCATTTGATCATTTGAGCGGCAGCTAGGCTCTGCAGCACGCTTTCAGGCATTCAGAGTGGTTGCTTGTGACGCGAGGATGACATGAGTGGCCACATGGGCGCCGGCGCCCTGACTCACACCGCCGTTGCCGATACCTTCGGCGAGCAGGCCGGTGAACGTGCTCGGCCTGATGCGCCTGAAGCATCAAACAACTAATTAGGAGGTGCAAGCGCCATCCAGGCAGCGACGGCCGGCAGCCGCTGGGAAGTCGCGCTGGCGGTGGTTCAGGAACCCTCTCCCCTAGCAGCTCTGAGCTCCTCCTGTTTCTCTCCCAGAATGCCGCCTGCGAGCCTGAGCGACGCCCTGCTCCCCGGCCAGCACCAGGGCAGCGAGCCGCGGGACGGCGGCCCCCGCGGTCGCGGCCGCGGGCTGGCCGGGGCCGCCGGCCAGCAGGCCGGGCAGTCGGCCCGGGTGCTGGCCAACCTGGTCAACTCGGGCATCGGCGCCAGCACTGTGGCTATGCCGCTGGCGGTGCTGAAGCTGGGTGTGGGGGTGGCTCTGGCGGCGATGGCCGTCCAGGCCCTGCTCGGAATCCTGGCCAACCACATTCTGTCCAGGTGGGCAGGCGAGCGGGCAGCCGGCGGGCAGCCGGCCAGCGCGGCCATGCTGCCCTGCCAGCGGCGCAAAGCGCCTGCCCTGCCGCGCACGCTCTCCCCTCCCTCGCTTGCCGCTGCCTCACAGCTGCGGTGCACAGCCTCTCCCCTCCCCCTCCTGCTGCTCTGCAGAGGGAGAGCGACCGGTGCGGCGCCGACTCCTACCACGACCTCATGCACAGCCGCTTTGGGAAGTGGGGCGGGCGCGCGGTGGCGGCGGCCCAGGCGAGTTGCATTGCAGGATGGTGCCGCCGCCTGGGACGACCGGACTACATTCATTGATGATAGCCAACCACGTACCCGGCACTCGCTGCTCCCTTTCCCTCTGCCCCTGGGGCGCGCCGCTGCCGCGGGGTCCCTTCCCCCCTGCCCCACCGCCTCTCGCTGCCGCTCTCCCTTCCCTTCCTCCAGGCCCTCAACTCCCTGGGCAAGACTGTGGTGTGGCTCATCATCCTGGCAGACCTGGTGGTGGGATGCTCGGGGGACGGCACCGGCCTGCTGCCCGAGCTGCTCCGCGCCGCGGGATACCCCGGCATGGCTGACAGCGGCGCCTGGTACCTGCGCCGCTGGCCCTGGATCCTGCTGCTGGCCGTGCTGGCGCCCCCGCCTCCGCAGGCAAGCCGTGGCGGCGCTGGGGCAGCAAAACCTTGGAGGCCGGCTTGCCACGTGCACCCTGCCTGCCAGGCTGTCTGGCAGCCAAGCATGTGCCCCTGGCGTGCTCGGACGGATGGGCTGTGCTTGTGCTCTGTCCAAGCTGAGCCCCACGCACCAACCTGATGTGGATGCTGATGCTGATGCTGACCCCTCTGCTGAGCTGCTGCTGGCTGCCGCTGCTGCGCCCCTCCCACTCCCTCGTGCAGTGCGCAGCCTGGACAAGCTCTCTGGCATGAGCCTGGTGGGAAACGCGGCCGTGGGGCTGATGACTGCGTCCGCCGTGGCGCTGGCAGGTGGGTCGCCTGGTGGCTGCCGTTTGGAAGCAGCCTGCCGTCTCCTCTTGACAGCGCGGGGGCAGTCCCGCTGCGCAGCAGCGGAGCCACAGCAGTGACGGGCTGGAGGCTGAGCTTGCCATGTGTGCAAGCAGGCGATAACTACCGCCGACATCCCGTTGACATCCCATCTGCCCCCACTTGCAGTGGTGGCTGCACGCCAGGGCAAGGCGCACCCCATCCACTGGCTACCCTCCCCGGGTGAGGCCTGCCTGCGCAGCGCAGCTGACAGCGCCTGCCCCCGCGCCCGGCCGGCTGCCCAGCCTCCATCCCAGCCTCGCATCTGCTGCAGCAGCTGCTGCTGCTGCTGCTGCTGCTGACTATGCTGCTGCTGCGCCTCCCGATGGTCACGAGTGTGCACCGCTGCGTGGGCCAGCATCTGCCTAGTCGCTGCTGCCCTGCCGCACGCAACGCTGCCAGCCGCCTGCGCCACAGCCCGCTGGGCCTGGGCCTGCCCACCCGCCGCTGTGCCTGCCGCCGCCCGCCACCCGCCCGCAGAGGACGCTGGCGCGGAGTCCAAGGCGGGGCTGGCCCTCGAGGTGGCCAGCGTGTTTCCGGTGCTCATGGGCGCCGCCTTCACGCAGAACAACATCAACTCTGTGGTGAGCCTGGGCAGCACATGCGGGAGGGCAGGCCCTAGGGCGGCATGCGGCGAGCCGGCGCGGTCCTGCAGAACAGCTGCGGGCCGCCACCAACGGAGCGCCGCACTCGCTGGTGTGCCCAGCCTGCCTGCCCCTCCTGTGCCGCCGTGGCGCGCCCGCCGGCCTTTCCCAGGGCTGCCCCGCGCCTGCCGCCCAACGCCGCTGGCGCCTCCCTGTACCGCCCTGTACCGCAGATGAGCGAGCTGAGGCCGTACCGGCAGGGGCTGCTGGATGCCGCCCAAATCGCCGCCCGCCTGCTCACCATCTCGGTTTTCCTGGCAATCGGCATCAGCAACTACCTCGCTTTTGGGAGCCAGCTGCAGGTGGTGTCCCCTTGAGACAAGGCCAAAGCCAGCCTGGGCCAGTCCGCTGCAAAACGGCCGGCGGCTGGGGATGCAAAAACGGCGCCGCCAGCGCAGGGAGACGGGCAGGCGCCTCCACCTCCCGGCGCGGTTCCGACGATGCGCCGGCCCGCCTCCTCGCGCTCCCCACCACGACGTGCACGCCCCCCTCTTCTCTCCAATGTATCCCCTACTCCCGCTGCCTCCCCCTGCGCCTTGCAGCCCGATGTGCTGCTCAATTATGGCACCGAGGGGCTGGGCCGGCTGCTGGCCCGCCGCGCCGCGCTGGCGCTGTCGGCCGCCGTCAAGCTGGCCTTCCTAGTCAACGGCCTCCTCAGCCTCCCCATGTGCCTCTATCCCTACCAGGTGGGATTCGATGGTTTGATGGGTGAAGTGCTTGTGTGTGCGTGTGGGGTGGTGGTGGTGGTGGTGGTGGTGGTGTGTGTATAGGGGGGGGCTGGCTGATGTGGGTGGCTGATGTGGCTGTGTGTCAGGGCAGGCAGGTGAGGGCCGCGACACTCCGCGGGCCGATATGTGTTGGGCGCAAGGCAGCAGGCAGCAACAGCAGGCCTGCCCCTGCCGCCCCTCTCCTGTCTTGCAGCGCAACCTCAGCGAGCTCCATGGCGATGGCCCTGGTCGCCCCTCTCACTTGTCAGCGCTCCCGCCCATATGAAACACTCGCATTGACCAATATCGCTTTTGGGGAAGGCCAGCGCCGCGCGGCGGAAGCCTCTGGGCGGGCAGGAGCGGCAACCGCCGGCGCCCAGCCGGGAAGCCTCTCTTGCCCGCCCTTGTGCGAATGTTAGACTGTGGGACGCTTTGGTACGCTACCAACAGTTAATTTAAGGCCTGCAGCCGCTAAGAATGGGTTGCCCGACGCTTTCACGGTTATGCGCCACGGGCGCCGCTCAGACGCGAGTTCGGCGCGCCGCGGCGGCAGCATTGGAGCCCTTTCTCAGAGCAGGAGGCAGCCTGCACTGCCTCGGAACACAACGGCCGGTGTGGGTGACCGTATGGTCAGGTTTGCAGTGGTCAATATTGGGTGGGGTGGCACCGTGCTTGCGCGCGCGCCCCCGCGCTGCTACCCATTGCTCCTGGCGCACGCCATGGAGCAACGGGGAGCGGCTGGCCTCAAAGCCCACTGCGCTGGCAGCAGGCATCGTCTGCAGGAAAGCAGGCGCAGCTGCGGCCGCCAGACACAGCCCCAGCACCCAATTTTTGGAAAGCCGCCGCTGGCGCAGGCGCACCGCTCGCGGCACCCAGCTGGGACCCCTGTCCAAGCTTGTCAGCTTGTGTCTGCCGGGCCAGAGGTCCCTGTCAACTTTATGAACGTGCGGGGAAAACAAATTGCACCACACTGCTTGCTCATAAGCACATTCCATCCTCCCTGCGCACGCTTGCTGGCAGGCGGCGGCAGCGCCTCCCGCCCCATGCCGCCAGCAGCAACTGCAGCGCTCGATGCTGCGCGCGCCAAAACAGCCACTATGCGACATGTAGAAGCCGCTGAGTGGGCAGCAGCACAGCGAATTGGTGGACAGCTGATATTGGTGGACAGCTCGGCAAAAAGCAACCACCATTTTGAGCCCTCCCGGCGACCCGGTGCGGACGCCCCGGACGTGATTGTTTGGTCGCGACCAAACAACCGGTCACGTCATCATCATCATCTTACACTGCTGCGCCGCGGGCGGACGCCTTTGTTTACAGTAGCAGCAACAGAGTTTGTCCGCGTGACAGAGCTCTCCCAAGCAAATGCAGCTCCTGTGGCATTTCGGTGCCGTTGTGGCGGCTGCAGTGGTGGTCGTATGGCTCTATGGCCTGAACATAGGGCACAGATGGCGCACCCGCCACCTTCCTGGCCCCCGCCCCGCGTGGCTCGTAGGTGCGTCTGTGCCGCCACCCGGCTCTGCCGCCATGTTGGTTTGCAGGCAGCAGCCAGCCAAGGCAGATCCTGGTGCCCCCTTTTTGTTTGGTTCGTTTCAAACCAAAAATGGTGTTTGGGCACAGAGCAGCCTTGTGGTGCGCGTGCCCATCTCCAACCCACCGCCCGCCTCGGTGCCGCCGCCACTTCCGCCTGCAGGCAATGTGATGCAGATGGGCCCACAAGGCAAGATACACGAGGCGCTGCAGAAGTGGGCGGCCAAGTACGGCCCCGTGTTCAAGTACTTCCTGGGCAGGAGGCCCTGCATCGTGATCACTGGTGAGGCGCCCCGGGCCGCCCGCTGCAGGCTGCTCCCGAGGCCAGGCGCCAGCGCAGCTAGCTACACAGGGGCTGTGCTCCCCCGGCGCACCACCCCTGCTGGCGCCGGACCCGCCGCTCGCTCTGCAGACCCGGACCTGGTGCGGCAGATCTGCGTCAAGCGCTTCATTGACTACCACGACCGCAGCGTGGTGAGCCCGCCGCGGAGCACCGGCGGGATCCCGACGGCCTGGCTGGCGTCGCATGCAGCGGGCCGACGTGCAGACCGCTCTGTGGGGCGACAAAGTCGCGACCCGTGCAGCGGGCCGGCAAGCGGGCTGCACAGGTAAATAAACAATTGCGCTCAGAGTCAACTCGTCTGCCGTGTGCCTTCACCCCGCAGCCTACGCTGGAGAATGGCGCCGCCTGCGACAACCACTTCCAAAACAGCGGCATCCTGTTTTCCAGGTGGGCGCAGCGGTGGCTGCTGCTGCCCGCTCCCGGGCTCCTGCTGCAGCGCAGCTTCCATGCCTGCATGTGCCCACGGTACCCGCCCTTGCTGCGACTCCTGGCCCGCAGGGGAAAGTATTGGCTGGGCATCCGCACCGCATGCGAGCCTCTGTTCCACAGCGCAGCGCTCGCCAGCTACGCGCCGATGATGAACCAGGCGATTGACGAGCTGGTGGGCAAGATGCAGGCGGCAGCGGTCAGCGGAGAAGGTGGGCGAGGCGTAGCCTGCTGTTGGTGGGGCCGCGCCGCCAGCTGTTCAGGGCTGGCATGTTCCCCTGCAGCTTCCACCACGCCTCCTCTGCCTCCCACATGCCAAGCAGGCATCTGCGTCAGCGAGCTCCTAAAAGCCATGAGCATGGATGTGATCGGCACCACAGCTTTTGGGTGAGCTCTGCTCCCTGCTGCCGGCTGCACTCGTCGCCAGGCTGCACACTCTTGTCAGCCTAAGTGTCGGGATGGCACTGTCGAGCCTGGATCCTGCCCCGCGCCATCCTGCATGCAGGGTCGAGTTTGGGGCGCAGAAGGAGGGCAGCGGCAGCACGCTGGTCAAGGCGGCAGAGGCGATGTTCACTCCCATGGCGGGCCTGCCGTTTTGGGCCGCCATCCTGTCGTTTGCAGTGCCAGACCTGAGGTGCGTTGCCCATCTGTACTGCCTGCCCGCCTGCATGCTGAGCGTACTGCACGTTGCCACTACGGTACAGGTAAAACTTGTACCGTATCGGACCAAAGGCTGTGTGCCCCCATACTGCCTGCAGGCGTGTGTGGTACCGCCTGGCCCTGCTGCTGAACCCAAAAACGATTAACCAGATAGTTGCAGGTGGGGAGCAGGGCTGCCTGCCACCATGTTTGCGCTGGCCTTAGGGGTTGTTTGGCTGCCAAATGGACACAGACATGCCTCCCTGCTCCTCTGCTCTTGTGCTCCACCTGCAGACCGCCGTTACCTGTGGGGGGCATCACAAGCCTTGCTGGACAGCGCCCGCGAGCAGGCAACCGCAGCAGGGGCGCCGGCAGGAGGGCAGGGCCCGGGTGTGGCCGATGGGCTGCGGAGCAGCGGGGAGGAGGGAGCCAAGGTGGCGGTGGAGTCTGCCGCTTTCCAGCAGGCCTACAAGACATATGTGGCCCAGGTGCCGCCTGAGACCAGCGTCGTCAGCAGACTCAAGTGAGGCTGAGGCAGCCAAGGCAGTCCTGGCGGGCCATCCTGCTTGCCGTGCCTTGCCTGCTTGCACGGGTACACAGTGGCACGCCCTCCACACGAGCCCTGCTTGCCTCGCAGGGATGCGGTGAACAAGCAGACGGGGAAGCAGCTCTCTGATCTGGACATCTGCGCTCAGGTGAGCAGCCAGCCGGCAGGCAGCCTGTCAAGGCGTAGCAGAAGCTCAAGTGCCCCGACCAGCCCTTGTCCTGCTAGATTTCCTTCTAGTCAACTGCGCCGCTGCCAGGTGGTCCTCATGCTAAACGAGTTCTTGTTTGCTTGGGCTTCCTGGTCATTACAGCTCTTCACCTTCCTGCTGGCTGGCTACGAAACCACCAGCCTGGCGCTGTCGTACGCGCTGTACCTGCTGGCGCAGCACCCCGAGCACCAGCGGCGCATCCAGGAGGCAAGCGGCGGACGGGGCCCTGCTGTCCCCTATCTTCATGGGCCCTATTGCCTAGCTTACACAGCAGGAGGAGGAGGAGACAGTGTGCTGCCTGGACTGCCTGGACTAGAGTCGTACCGCAGCCCTGCCACGCCCTGTGCAGGAGGTGGATGCCTTGGGGCAGCGTGAGCTGGTTTATGAGGACCTGGCAAAGCTGCCGTACACAGGTCTGCCGTGCCGCCAGCGCCCGCCACTCCCGCCGTATGTTTTGCCACAGCAGCCCTCCGCACCAGGGCATGTTCCTTGCTGCTGCGACACCTACACTCCTGCAATTTTGGTTGCAAATCCTGGTGCTCCTTTTGCTGCAGAGGCAGCGTTCCAGGAGTCTATGCGCCTCTACCCGCCAGTCTCTTCCCTGATTGTCCTGGTGAGCTGGCGCGTGGGCAGGGACTTCAGCCCTGCACGTTGCTGATGCTGGGCTGGCTGGCACGGCAGCCTGCATGAGTGGCACCTCCTCACCTGCTTCCTGTCACGCTGTGGCTTGTCCCAGTTGCGAGAGGCGGGGCATGGAGGCGTAGACCTGGACCTCACTGGCGGCAGCCGCAGGAGCCTGGCCACGCCAGCAGCGGGGCCCACCAGCGTGTTCATTCCAGGCGAGCTGCTGCCGCTGGGGTGCATTGGGTCACGGTACGGCGCCGCCTGCGTGCAGTTGATGTGTGAGTGAGTGCTGCCGCTCCGGCGGGCGGGGGGCGCTATCCTCAGCAGCTGGTTGGGTGCTTTCCACCCTGCCCCCTGCAGACAACTGCCGTGTCATGTTCAACATCTGGACGCTGCACAGGGATCCTCGTTATTGGGAAGCTCCGGAGGAATTCAGGTATGTGTGCGCAGGCACCGGCAGCCTGCGGCTGGTCCAGGTGCTGGATACGCCGCCCGACTTTAACCGACTCCTACCACCTGCCTCACGCTGCCTCCAGGCCCGCACGCTTCCTGCCAGACGAGGCGGCCAGCCACCACCCTGGAGCGTACTTCCCCTTTGGCCTGGGGCCCCGCAGATGCGTGGGCTGGCGGTGGGTTGCAGCATCCGCTCATGCAGTCTTCCCTGCTCTGCTGCCCGCTGCCACGCGGTGCCCGCCCGGCTTCCTGCCTCTCTGTGGTGACACTGCACCGCCGCTCTGCACCCTACCATCTCGGTGACAGCTCCCTGCCCCTGCTCTTCTGCGCCTCGCTCGCCGCGCAGGTTTGCGCTGGAGGAGGGCGTGCTGTGCCTGGCCCGCATCTTCCAGCGCTTTGAGCTGCGCCTCGACGCCGAGCGCCACACCGGGCCGCTCGACCTGCGCAGCAGTGAGTGTGAAAGCTGCCCGGGCTTCCGATCGGCCACAGGAGGACGAGGAGCCGTTGCTCGCCTGCACTGCTAGCCATGACGCACCGCCCGAGACTGAAGTTGGCTGCTGTGGCTTGGGTGCAGGCGTGACGCTGGCGCCGCCCAAAGGCATCTGGCTGAAGGTACACGGCCGGGAAGTGTAGCATGTGATCCATCACCAGCCAGGCACAGCGGCCAAGCATCCTCCAGCAAGCCATAGAGTCGCGCACGACCCCTGTTCAGCGTCCCCTCGCTTTGTGTACCTTCACCCGCCGTGTCCCTGCACCGCTGTGGCGCCGCATGGCGCGCCGCTGCATGGCGCGCCGCCGCCGCCGCCACGTTGCCACGTTGCCGCTGTCGGCCATCGCCTCGCGCTACCTGAGTGTATTAATGCAACCGTCGTTGACAGTAGCATCGGTCAAGTGATTTGTTGTACCTTTCTGTGCTGTGTGAGCCGTCCAAGAAAGTGTTCAATGGAGGACAGCGATGTCTAAAGGTCTCCACGCTCACATCGATCCAATCTGTTCGTCATGGCAGTGGGCAGAGCCCCTCGAACCATCATGCGGCACGCCCTGGCCTTCTGGCTGCCACCAGGCTGCCACTCGCAGCCCTGCTCACGGGAATGCTCCTCGGAGCGGGCCTCAAGGATCGGTGAGCCTCCCAGAGCTGTCTGGCAGAAAGTCTGTGCTGCAAGCTTGTTCTTGCTGAAACCAGACTGTAAGCCCACACAAGCAAGAAGCAGGGGCGCTGGGCAACGTCACTGACGTGCTGCCGGCCTTGCAGGCTTGGCGGGATGCCGGCGGCGGCAGTGACGGGGCGGCGGCACCTGCGGCCGACACTGCGGCCTTGGATGGGCGCCTCGGATGAAGCAGGTCGGCTTGGACTTGCTCTGTGGCCAGGCTCGGAGAGTACCTCTCCTATTTAGTCAATTGCACCAGCCAACCTCCCTTGAGAGAGTGTCCCCCCGCCCGCGACTGCAGGCGACGCAGCAGCAGCCCCTGGCGTGAACCCCGCGCCCAGCCTTGCCGCATTCGAGCGGTTACAGGTAGGCCGGCGGGCCTGGCAGGGGGAGCAGGCCACGTGAGCCAACGCCTCCCATCCACTCATCTACATACGACACCACCCGCCACACCCCCCCACCACACCCCCTCTGTGAACCGCAGGCCACCCCGGCGCTCGTGAGCCAGGAGGCAGCTTCCTTTGCCGCCGAGTTCCAAGCGGTGCCCTGGCTGCTGCCGCCGCGCATGCCTGCGCTGCCCTGGGCAGGGGTGCACGGCTTTGATGAGCTCATGGCGATGCAGTCGCGGCCCGCGGGCGGCCACCCGCGCAGCGTCGCGCTGCTGCTCTTCAACAAGGCCTTTGCGGTCATGGCTCAGAACAGCAGTGAGTGCGGCGCCCTGCCAGGCGCGGCTGGCCGGGGACTGCGCCTGCGCTTGCCGTGTCTTCAAGCTGTGTGCTGTGGCAGCATGCCTCATGCGTGCCTCTCAGATTGGAGGGCCGGTTTTGGCGGGCCGGCTGCCTGCTCATCATGAAGCTGCCGGCTCACATGCCCGCTCGCCTCCAAGGCGCCTTGCCAACACTGCCATCGACCCTGCAGTCTACTCCCTCATCAAATTCGGCAACGTGAGCAACCATGTGGTGCTGACGTGGACGGCCGATGACCTGGCGGCCTGCGCCGACCTCAACCTGCCCTGTGCTGACGTGTCGCACCTGCTGGCAGAGCCGCTGGTGGCGATGGCTGGTGCGGGAGAGGGAGCAGGTGGGGGCCGCTGGTGTTGCCAAGCTGCGCGTCTGGTCTCGCTGCAAGCGGCGACAATGGGAAAAGGCGGGCCCAGCACAGCCTTGGCGAGCCCCGCATGCTGGCCCTGGGCTGCACATGCAGGCACCGCGGCAGGGTGGGGCAAGCATGACTGGCTGGCCATCGTGTGGCTCAAGCCTGCGGTGGTGCTGCATGTGCTGCGGCAGGGATATGTCGTGATGCTGGCAGGTGCGTTTCACGCCAGCAGCACCAGCAGGGCTGAGGCTAGCTGCCAAGGCCGTGTGCCTGCCAGCCAGCGGCTGCCGCCGCCCTGAGCCCGTGCGTGATGCCAGCTGAGCCCGTGCGTGCCTGCCCGCGCTTTGTCTCTCTTCCAGACGTGGACATAGCCTACACCGTCAAGCCGGTGTGGGACACTTACCTGGCTTTCATGGATCAGGCAGGGGCGGATGGCGCTTTCCAGCACGAGGACCCCCGGTGGGGCTGCCTGGCCGGCTGCCTGGCTGGCTGCATCACAGCCGTGTGCAGCCATGTGCCATCATGCCAGCCTGCGTGCCCAGCGCCAGGAAGCATGCCATGACCACGCTGCCCCATGCCCACTCGCCTCCCGCTGCCTGCCTCGCCCCCCTCGCCTCCTGCAGTCAACACCGGCCAGTTTGTGATGCTCCCCACCCCCGCCTCGCTGGCCTTTGCCGAGCGCTGGAACTCCCTGGCAGCTTCCATGATCCCTCAGGGGCCGGCCACGCAGCCGGCCCTGCGCCAGATGCACCACCACCACTTCGAGGCGTGCACCTCGCTGTGCCAGTGCTTCTGGGCCCACCGCAACGTAGGGCGCCAGCCTGCCTGCCTGTCTGTCCGCCTGCCTGCCTCCTCGCCAGTGCCTGCTTGCCTGCACGGCTGCACGCCTGCATGCCATGCTGTACTTAAAGCCCAGCTGACACATGGTCCCTTGTGTCTCCGCCCCACGCAGCTGACCTCCCTGGGGCTGAGGAACGACACACCCATCTTCCGCACTTACTACCCAGGCTACTTTGCCTACACCCAGGTCGGTGCTCGTGCCGCTGCTCAGCAGCCTGCCGCCTGGCTGCTTGCCGTCCCACCCGCTGCCCGCCTGCCTGCCTTTTTTTTGCAATTTCACGCACTCTATTCCACAGCAAACACCATATATATTTGCTCGGGCATATATGCCCGAGCAACACCTTGAGCAGACACACAGCTGGACAGGATGCCCAATCCACGCCCCTCGCGCCGCCCTCCTCTTCGTGCAGTCGACGTGCGACATAGGCAACCCGGCCTGGGTGGCGGCGCTGGACCCCTGCGACTGGCAGCTCCTCTTCCTGCACCCCATCTGCGCCACAGACACAGCGCAGAAGGAGGCCGTGCTGCGCACGGCGGGCTTCTGGTTCGTGGACAGCGAGCAGGGTGAGCAGGCAGGCACCCCCTGCCCTGGTGCAGCCTTCAGCGGCAGCCCCTTTCCCTGCTGCATCCCCCTGGGGACGCCAGTGGTGGGGCCTGGGTGCAATGCCGTGCGCCCGTTTGTCCCACCACACGCCCAGCCTTGGTCATGCTTTTCTCCCACTGCACGTCCCAACTGCCGCCGCGCGCCGCCAGGGTGCGAGCCCAGCAAGGGAGCTGCCAGCGGGGGGCCCGCTTGCCCCCCGCTGCAGTGGGGGCTGCCCCAGACGGAGGTGCCGCACTATGCCTGCCCGCTGGCCGGCAGCCTGGCGCTGGTGCATGGCGGCTAGCCGCCTTCGGCAGCTGCGCTCAAAGCGGGCGCCAGCAGCGCCGAGGCCTCCAAGCTGCTGATGATCCGTTCAATGCCACCAAGCCCGGCCTGTGGTACTAGCTGGTGGTGGCACCCTTGGTCTCCCGACATTATGCAACACTGCCACCCCCTAAACACCAACAAAATCGTACCCTGACACTGGCAGCACCGCTGCCCTGCATCCTGTGAGAGCTCCATTTGTGGAGCGGGGCGTTACATGGGCCAAAACTGAGAGCTGGCTTGATTGGCCAACGGGAGGTGAACACTCAACAACAGGAGGCAAGGAGTGTGGGCGAGCTGCTGCAAGCCGGCGGAATGGCTTCTGGGCACCGCCGGTGCAGCAGGCTCAGCAAGGTGGCTGGCAACAGGCCATGGCAGGTGGCTGCCATAGCTTCGAGGTATCAATTTGGGGTACCGGATGAAAGTGGGGGAGGAAAACAGATGCATCTGGAACGAGAGGTGGTCAAGGGGATTATGCGGACTAGGGCTACACTAGACGTTGCATAGCTCAGCAGGATAGCAACACACATGGTGCGGTGCGGCAGAGGCAAGGGTGGGAGGCGGAAAACAATGAAATGGGCCGATTGGATGGGAGCGTGATGGCGAGAGGCCGACTGGAATGATGATGAGCTTCCAGCATTCGTCGTTTGTGTGTGAGCAGAAGGCAGAGGGCCCGGATCTAAGCAGCTCTACATGCCATTGGCCCCAAGCGGGGAGCGTGGGGCGTGCGGGCTGCAGTCGGCGGCAGCCGCCGCCATGGAGAAGGGCCAGGCCTCAATCGGGTGATCGGCGGCAAAGGGGTTGGCCGCAGGCACGCACACACCACAGCCCCAGCAATTGCTCATCCTCCACCATCTCCCGGCACCACAACGCGCTCAGCAGCGTGCAACGCTGGCTGCCGATGGGCACCACAAGCACCTCCTGCAGCCGGCCCACATACAGCTTGCTGGCAGCTGCCTGTTGGCGGCGGGCAACGTGAAGGTGGCCGCAACGTAGCTGTTGGTGTTGGCGTTGCGCAGGTCCACGCGCTGCACTTGCAACATCAGGTTTCGGACCTGCACGAGCGGGCAGGGAGGCCATACAGCAGGGATGTTGGCATGGCACACATCTGCTGAGGTGCCTGACAGCTGGCAGCAGCTTGGGATGGGAATGAAGAAGGGAGTGGGCATAATACCCCAGCAGCCCGCACCTGGATGTGCCTTCAGCCGAAACTGAGCTAGCCGTGCAACCCAGTGGCAACCCGGCATACGACTAACCCGCCGGCGCTGCTCATCGCCGCAACAAATACACAAGCGGCAGTCTGCAATGTTCAACCTCACGACAATGGCATGCATTCCTTTGCTTCACGCTGCACATGCCAACCCATGGCTAAGCGTTGCCAAGCACTGACCTGCACCCGCGCTGCCGCCGCCGCCGTCGGCGATGCCCGCCGCTGCCATGTGAGGCCGTCCAACTTGCGCCCGCTGCATCGCGCCCTACCAGCATTTCATGCCCCGCTGCAGCATTTGCAAGCCCCACCGCAGCAGGAGGAGAAGCCTCTCAGTGTGGCCTTCATCCCATCTCGCCGCAGCATCGCCAGCGGCCTCCCATATTGTCCAAAACACTTCAGGAAGCAGGTGCGATTGGCCCGAGTGGGTGCGGGACGCGCCCTTGGGGAGGACGAAGAAGATGTGACCAAACACGGGTGACTCAGGGGGAGAAACGGTGGCAGCGACTTTCCAGAGGAAGCCTGCCGCCACTCCCTCCCCACAGGAGGCTGTCAGGCTGGATCTGGAGGGTTCTGAGCTGTCGGCGGCGTCTGTGCATACAGTGATCGTCGTGATGTGCGAATCTGCAGGTTGTAAGAGAGGGCACTGCGCACAAGGCGGCGAACCGCCGTCGCCGCCTGGCCGGGCGCAACGCCGCACCGCTCGAGAGCAGCGCGCGCTGTGGAAGTGACCAGGCCCGAGTGGGACACGGCGACAGGGAAGCAGGTGACCTGCCATCCCTGTTGAACCAGGTAATGCATCCAAGAGCTGTGTTGCTCCAGCTTGTCAGCAACTGCCGCCGAAAGGCGGGTGTCGGCGGCATGCGTGACCTCCACGCAGCCGAGCACACGCTCCTCAGGGGTGAGCTGGCTGAGAGAGATGGTGTGGGCGCGGTTGGGCTCCATAGCAGGGAGGAATATAATGTCCGGGGTGGTATGGCCCTGGTGATGAGGATTGAGGGATTTAATTAAGCTTTCTTGCATGGAAAAGCGCACGTGTCATGCAAGAAAGCTGGCGTGGACCAACAACTAAGCCGTCTTGCATGCCCCGTCTTGCATGCCCCCGTCTAGGTTCCGCCACCCCTACCTGCCTACCACGCGGGCAAGACAGGTAGGGGGCCCGCGTGACATGCGGGGGGTGCGCCAAGTGGGGGGTGCACTTTTGGCAATTGCTCTCGGAACGCCTCCAGCCCGCTTCCAATCGACCCCAAATCAATCAGGGGACGTCTAGCGATAGCCAGTCGCGGGCGGCGGGGAGGGCGCCGGGGTGGCGCTTTGGCCGCTGTTTGTATCCGCGAGGCTTTAAAAGGCCATGGATGAGCTACTGGACAGCTCTGAAGCAGGTGGGCGGCCCTCATGCTGTGGTTCACTGAATGGAGATGATCACCCTGCGATATATCTGACTGACCTGCATGTCCGCCCTGGAAAGCGGCATTTTGGGGGCGCCCGCATGGGCTCATTTCTGCACCGATTCTGGCGCTGTAAAGCGCAATGCGCTCAGGGGAATTTATTTAATCGTTTTAGAATCTCAGGCGGCGGGCCGGGGCGCGGGCCTTGGACGCCATCAGCGGCGACTGCGGGAGCGAGTTAGGGCCCGCCCAGGTCAGCCATGCATCAGAATCAGCTGCCGAATGTCGCGGAACGGCGCGGGCAGCGCTCACGCAAGGCGGCCTGCAAGTGGAGCCCGCAGCAGGTGGCGGCGGCGCCCAGGCAGCGGCGGCGCAGCCTGGTGGCCGGCCCCGCGAGCGCTGTGGGTGCTGTCGTGGCCGGGGCAGCCACCAAGATGCGAGCGGTCGGCCGCAAGATTGCAGCAAGCGCAGGGCGCCAGGGCGCCGTGGCGCAGGCCGGGGAGCAGCCGCGCCGCGGCGGCAAGCGCGACCCCGCAACGCACCCGCAGCTGGGCGCCAGCGTGCAGCCGTCGCCGGCTGCCAAGGTGCCCTGCAGGCTGGCCCTGACCCCGCTGCTGCAGCCAGGCGGTCCCGAGGCGGGCTTGCAGGAGCAGGCAGAGGCGCGGCCTGCGGCGCGGCGGCACCAGCGGCAGCAGGTAGCACCCACCTCCCCGCCACCGCCAGATCCCGCTGGCGAGAGCGGGGACGAGGCAGAGGAGGAGGAGCAGGCGGGCAGCAGCGTCTGCAGCAGCAGCAGCGACAGCGGTGCCTTCAGCAGCGGGGCCGACAGCGGCAGCGATCCAGAGTCAGATTCGGAAGAGGAGTCGGGCGAGGAGGAAGGGCAGGCGGTCAGCAGCGGGGATGAGGAGTACCGCCCATACTTTGATCGCCTGCCTGGCCCTGGCCGTGGCCGTGGACGCGGCGGCCGAGGCGGTGCGCAGCAGCAGCAGCAGGAGCAGCAGCAGCAGCAGGAGCAGCAGGCGGAGCTGCAGGAACGGCCCGAGCAGCGCGCCGCGGCTGGCGGGCGGGGCCGAGGCCGCGGCGGTGGCAGAGCGGGGCGTGGCCGAGGGCCGGGCCGCGGCAGCGCTGTTGCTGCCGCAGGCGCTGCTGCTCAGGCAGGGGGCAGCGAGGATGCAGAGGCTGAGGGCAGCAGGGGCGGGGGCAAGGCCGGCTGGACCAATGCGCTGCACAGCCGCCTCACCCAATTTGGCCTGTCGCTCAATGCTGAGTTCCCCGCCACCGTCCCTGCGCTGATAGTGCTCATGCAGCAGCGTGACCCTGGCCTGCACCAGCAGCTGCGTGCAGCCAAGCTGCTGTACAGCAACGGCAAGCGGCTGGAGACGTGGCATGTCGGCATGCCGCGGCATGCTGCAGCTGCATGCCGGCTTTGCGGCTGCAGATCGATTCAGGCAGGCTGCTGTGCGGGCGGAGCGGCTGGATATCCTCAGCACTGCCGTCGATTGGCACAGGCGGAGTACAGCTTGGTGGATGTGTGGGATGCAGACCCATTCATCCCCATCGTCACGGGCTTGGAGGCGGCAGAGGCGCAGGTGGAGCTCAGTCGGTGATGGCGCCATGCACCCAGCAACGTCGCCGGCAGCACTCCCGCCTCCCCCGTGGTTGGCGAGGCAGCGGCGCAGCACCAGCAGGAGCTGGAAGGCCGCGCCTTGTGCATGTGGCTGCAGCACCTTAAGGAGGCAGAGCTGCAGCCACCCGGTCGCGCCGCGGCGGGCGGGGCTGGCGGCGACGGGCAGGCGGTGTCGGGAGCCGCGGCCTTGTGACCAGCCGTTCACCTCAGCACACAGCTTGCATTGCCTGAATGCTAGTGCTCACATGATTGGCTGTGACAGCTGAGACAGAGAGCACAACAGCTCAACAAAAAATCAGTCGGGTGGGGAGAAGAGAGCATGAAAACAGAAACATTCGCCGCCTGCTGCCGGCATCGACTCCTGCCACCGCCCACTACCTCCTGAGCCTGGCCTTGAAGGTGGCAAGCCACGCTGCCACCCGCCCAGCCCGCCCCCTGGCGCCGCTCCTTGTGCTGCTCCGCCCGCTGCTGTGCCTCCTCGGTGCCCATGGGACGGCGGCCAGTCGGGGGCATCCCCTACAGCCACAGCGGCAGCAAGGGCGCGGGACGGTGAGTTGGAAGTGGGGGAGGCAGGTGGGGATCAGAGGCCGGGGCGCTGCATAGCTACGCGGCGGCCATGGCTGCCACGCCGCCACGCGCCCCACCTTCATCGCGTGCCCAGTCGTTGGTGGCCTCTTCCAGCTCAGCCCGCAGCTTCTCCTCCGCTGCAGCGTGTCACACAGCACATGGGCCACGCACAGGGTGGGGTAGCGGCGGAGTTCGGTCGGATGCATGCATATGGCGGGGCAGTGGGAGGGGGCAGGGGGCAGCGGGCTGGGCTGGCGACCACCCCAGTGCCAGCGCCCGAGCACGGCATGCCAGCACCGGCAGCACAGCCTCATATTCCCGTTTCTGCGCTGCAGTGCGCCGCTGCCGCCAGGGCGCTCAGCTGCAGCCCGCGGCGGCGGCTCGGGAGGCCGCGGCGCCTCCTCGGCTGGCTGTCCGCCCCCGGGTGTCTGCGCCAGCCCGAGCAGCGCCTCAGCAGCAGCCTGCGCAGCCTCGGCCTGCTGCTCCCGCACCGCAGTCTCGTCTGCTCCATCTTCTGCTGCCATGCCCATGGAGGCGGAGCTGGCAAGCCGCGCCCCGGATGGGCCGCTGAGCTCGATGGCCTCCTCCTCCCCTCCTCAGCGAGCTGCGCCCGCTCAGCGGCCTCCTCCAGCCCATCCGCTGTGCCCTCCGAGTCCATGTCTGCATCGCTGGCGCGCGAGGGCGGCCCAGGGGGCGCGTCCAGCGGGTGCGCAGCAGCCAGCTCCGCCGCAGAGGGCAGCGGCGCCTCGGCCACCGCTGCCGCCGCCGCGTACGCGGCGTGGGCTGCCAGCTCCGCCGCGTGGGCCTGTCCCCGCTCTGGCTGTGCGCGGCTGCCCCACCAGGGCCTCTGCTGCCGCCCCTGCCTGCTGCCCCCTCCCCATCCATCTGCGGGCAGCGGCCATGAGGGTCTTGGCCCGCTTGGGCGCCATGCCGCCGCTGGCGCCGCAGGCGGGATCCCGCCAGCGGTGTCGGGGGCGGCCTGCATCACGCACATGGGCAGTGGGAGTGTTGGAGAGGTAGCAAGGAGGTCCAGGGGCCGCGCACCGGCACGGGAGAGGTGGCGCCGGCGGGATCGGCACACTGGCGGGCCATGGATTCCCTCGTGCCTGCCCCGCCGCGGCCGCTGACCCCGTGGACTTCCAACACCCGCCCTGCCCCACACCCCTACGGATGGGATTCGCGAATGCTGCCCGTTCAGCGCACCTCGGTGCGCGCGCCGGCTATAGACGGCCGCCCTCGCGCCTCCCGCTACCTTCCAGCCGCCTCAAGTTTGTTGCAAATACCCCCCGCAGGTCTGTACGGAGCGGTTTGGTCAAAGCGGCCCAGGGGGCGCCGGGCCGGGGTGCCGCATGTGCGATGGCCTGGCCCGGCCCCTGACCGACTCCCGGCTGGGCAGGGCCTATCCCAGCTTGATTAATGCGCATCAAAGTGTTCCTGGCCGGGCGTGATCACCGATTGGCGCTGTCCCTGGGATGTAATTGCGTGCTCATGTCGGGCCCGTTGCAGGTCGTGCAGGCAGGTCAGTCAGAATATAGATGTAAGAGCAGGCAGCGGGTCTAGTCGAAGTCTAGTAGCAGCCGGAGCCCGGCTGCGGCCAGTCAAGTCAAGTCAGTTACAAAGAAGAGAGAAAGGCCCCGGAATGACCCGCATTCCGGTTATATAGTCGCACAAAGGTAGTGCTGTAGTGCTGCCAGCCAGGCATGGCTGGTGACTAGTCGATCGATCAAGGCATGATAAGCGCAATCAATCATGCAGTTGTGAGTAGAATCAGGTAGGCCTCCCGGTAAGGATGTGCCCCATGATGGGCATGATGGCCCCCCACCTGGAGGGTCATTGGGGACATCATCCTCAATCATGCATCATTCTCCCTCCCGTTTGTTCTGTTGGCATCCCAGCAACCGTAATATGCTTTCTAGGACATGAGCCAGCACTTTAGGATGAAGGTGGTTAGCAAGACCACGGCCCCCAGGCCTCTAGACGGGCCACAGCCAAAAAGACCCCGTGCAAGTAGACCAGGACAACAAGCTCCCTTCAATGTGCCAGGGCAGGCCAGGCGGCGGGGTGAGAGGGATGACAACGAGGATGAGCGAGCACCCAGCGGCTTCTTAGGCTGGGGCGACCGGCAAGGACGCAAACGTGATCACTGGGAGGCTCGGCTCGGACCGGACGTGGATGCCTTCTTGGCCTCTCTGCCGGGCCGGGCGGCGCAGCAGCGGCAGGAGCGCCAGCAGCAGCTCCAGCAGCGGCAAGCCCAGCTGGCCAGCATGGAGCCGCTTCCTTGCCACTTAGCAGCAGAAAATGGCAGCTGCTGTGAGTTGCACAAGACGGGCAGCCAGGCA